ACTCAGAAAGTAAACAGCCCCGTTCACACTTGCCTAAAGAAAGACCTTGGAACATACCTAACCGAGGAAGTGAAAGACGTCTACAATGAAGACTGGAGAACAGTGGAGGAAGGCAGGAAAACGTCTCATGCTCAGGGACTGGGAACTTCCGTACTGTGAAAATGACTACCTTCCCAGAAGCAACCTACAAATTCCGTTCATTCCCCATCTAAAATTCCAATGTCATTTTTCACGGAAATAGAAAAATCTTCAATTCATACGGAAGTACAAAGGACCCCAGGTAGACAAAGCCATCATGAGACAAAAGGACAATGGCAAGTTGATTCAGAGTGTTTCGGGGACCGCGGAGCTGAAGTAACAAAGCAGCATGGGACTGGCCCAGGAGCAGCCACCAAGATCAGTCGCACACGGTGGAGGATCTAATGTCAGCACGTGCAGCTACAGCTGCCTGCATTTTCACAAGACTTTAAGAATATACAATGGAGGGGCTGGAGAGATGGCTCAGTGGTTAAGAGCACTGACTGCTCTTCCAGAGGTCCTGAGTTCTATTCCCAGCAATCACATGGTGGCTTGTAACATGAGGGGCCGGCTTGTTGGGGTTTCTGTCCCACCCGGTACACCACATCCGGCATACCCCAAGGAAAATCACACACAGGACTCCATAAGATTATAAACTGATTGGCCCATTAGGTCAGGCTTCTTGTTAACTCTTATAACTTATGTTACCCCATTATCCTTATCTACGTTAGCCACATGACTCCGTTCCTTTCTCAGCTGGGCAAGTTACATGCTGCCTCTTCGGTGGTCTGCGCAGGAGTGGCAGAGGGAGCTTCCTGTTTTCCCAGAATACTCCCAGTCTCTTTGCTCCACCCCTACTTCCTGTCTGGCTTTCCCACCTATACTGCCTGCCTGGCCAATCAGCATTTGATTAAAATATGATTGACAGAATATAGACAATTCTCCCACACTAGTGGCTCACAACCATCCGTAATGAAATCTGGTGCTCTTCTGGCGTAAGGGCGTACATGGAGGCAGAATGTTGTATACATAATAAATATATAAATAAATCTTTTATATATATATATATATATATATATATATATATATATATATACATACACAATGGAGAAGAGTCTTTTTTAACACACGATGGTGGAAAACTGGATATCCACATGTAGAAGAATGAAACGAGAGCCTTATCTCTTGCTGTGTACAAAGCTCAACTCCAGATGGACCCACGACCTTAGCATAAACCGCGAAAATTCCAAAGCCAGTAGGGAAGATGTTTCCAGGTATTGGCATGGGGGCTGGAGAGGCTCTTGGTGGCGACAAGCACTTGCTGTCCTATCCCAGAGGACTGGAGTTTCGTTCCCAGCACCCGTGTTTGGCTGCTCATAGCTGCCTGTGTGGCTCCCTCTCCAGGGGCTCTGACACCTTTTCTGGTTTCCTCAGGTACCTGCGCACAGGTGTGCGTATACATACATGTAAATAAAAAAAAATCTTAAAAATCTATGCTGGCATTGGCAGGAACTTTGTGACTAGGACTCATAAGGCAGTTGATAAGTCTGATTTCAGGAAATGAAAAGCTTCTGCCCAGCAAAGGAAACAGCCTAGTGAGGACAGCAAAATGGAGGAAAATCTTTGCTATCTGACAGAGAATTAATATCTAGAATATACAAAGAAATAAAAAAAAAACAAAGGAACCAAACAGTAAATGGTCTTTTGAGCAGACAGTTACCAGAAGAGGAAGTACAAATGGCCGATAAACATGAAAAATTATTCAGTTGGACATCAGAGAAATGCAGATAAAAACACCATTCAGATCCCATCTCACCCCAGTCGGAATAGTAGTCATTAAAACAACAACATCGAACAGTGGTTTAGATGTGAGCGAAAGAGAACCCGTAGGAGAGAACCGTAGGAGCGAAAGAGAACCCGTAGGAAAGAGAACCATTCTGGGGGGATGGGAACTAGTCAGGCCACTATGGATATCAGTGTGGGGTTTCCTCAAAAGACACAAAATAGCCCCACCATATGACCTGATTATATACTGCTCCTGGACATTTACTCAGAAGACTCCAGTCGACATAGGACAGAGACACTGACAGACACATCAGTGTTTGTCACAGCATTGTTCTCTGTAGTTCAGCTGTGGTACCTAAGTGTCCATCAGTGTAGGAATGGACAAAAGAAATGCAATGTGTACACACTAGGAATTGTGTTCAGCCATGAAGAAGAATGAAGTTGTCTTTTGAGGGAAATGAGTGATGGAGACCATCGTGTTAAGCAAATGAAGTTGTCCTTAGGATGACAGATCCTGTTTCCCACTTATGGGTACTAGGTGTTAGAGATACATAAAATCATGTGTGTAGTTGTCTAGGGGAATTCAGAGGATGAAAGAAAGTGGGGAGAGCCAGGAAGGGGAGGTTAGCAAGACTGGGGGTGTGGCGGTATTCTGTTCAAAGTACACTGTATAGTTACAAGCACATACTTGCCTTATATAACTAAATTTAAAAAACAAAACAGCAAAACTAATGAGGTTGGGAAGATGCTTTAGTCGGTAGGATGCTTGGTGTACAAACATGAGGACCTGACTTCCATCCTCAGCATCTGTGTAAAAAGCTGACTGGAATGGCTCGTGCATGCCATCCAGGACTGGAGAGGCAGACAGACTTTTTCCCAGACAAGCTAGGCTAATTAGAGAGTCTCAAACTCCAGTGAGAAACTCTGACTCAAAAAGAAATAAAATTAAAAAGTAAACCAAGAGAATGGTGCCTGAAGAATAACACCCTCTGTGTACATAACAGTTGCCCTCTGGTGTACACAATGTGCACACTGCACATAGGCACGCATACATGCGTGCACACACACACTGTAAATGCTTAATAAATGTAAACTTGCTGAAAAGGAATGATAACTATCCAAGGTGATATGCAAGTTACTTCCATCTGATGCTCACGCATTGTAACCACCTATGGCAATGTTACATTGTCCTCCAAAGTAACATGTATAATTACTTTATATCAATTTCAAAAAATTAAAAATTGTAAGGAAAAGGGAACATGTTCCTCTTTCCCTTGCACCTCTGCTGTTTTGTCCTTGATACCAAGTAAATCAGGTCTACTTCTCCCATAATGAACTTTTCAACGTGTATTGTGTGCACTCCAAGCGTGCTTGGCCACTGACTGAACGAGGCCAAACGTGAAGACTTGAACTGCCATGGGCAGTCCAGAGGCATTAACTTCCAACACTGGGGCCTTAACTCCATGGCCTGCTTTCTGTTTGACGTCTCTAGCGATAGTTTATTTTTCAATATCATTTGTATAAGTACAGATTTGTTTTGGTGTTTCTGTGTTTTTTGTCGGGGTTTTCCCTGCTAGGGTGAGTGTCCATGTTCTCAGCTTAAACACATGACTAGATGTACCCATGGGTCTGTGCAGTTGCCAGAAGGATGCAGTGTCATCCCACACCCTTGTGCACACACCCTCATCGCCCCTGCTCTGAAACTGCCCACCTTGCCTTAGTGACTTTATTTAAAGCCCTCGACATTTCTGCTAAGGTCAAGCTTCACAGGTGAGTGTCGTAATTTCTCTTCAAACACACTCTGTTGTCCTCACTTTGACACTCCTATAAAGAAACAACTTCAAACCCCTAAAATGCTATTCCTAGAATGTCTGAACGATTTCCAGGTGGATGGAAAGTTAAAATTCCTGCACTCAGGTTTGAATGGCACCGCTTGGGAAGCACTTGCAGGCAAACGCCTGGCCCGCTCCGCCGAAAAGTGCTGAGACAGACATCTGCTCCCGTTCTAAAATAACCCACGACCTTCAGCCTGTCACCAAACTGCTCCGACGTACGTTTTCCTCATCCAAAATTGGATGCATCAGCCTGTTCCAGGTTGGTGGCAGTGCTGTGTGGACAGATATTCAATACCTGTTTTCAGTTGTATCGCAAACAATACTGCAGCTGTCTATAGGTATTTTGATTTGAGAGTTCGGAAAAAAAAATGTAATAGGAAAATGAGATATTGGTGGTTCTGGGTATTTCAGACTCTGGGTTGGTTCCAAAAACGCTGTCACTAGTCTCCATAGGACCCATTCTAAGTATGCCCATTACATGTTAGAGAAATGGTATAATTTCTGGTGGGTTTCTATGTGTTCTCAGACTTCAGAATGGAGTTCTTGGCAATGGGTATTGTTTGTGTGGAAATATCATTACTTTGGATTCTTTCTATAGTCTAAGGGTAGAAGAGAAAAGGAATTGAAAGTAAGGGGATGACTTGTCTTTTTTTTAGTCTCCACCTCGGAAGCAAACACCTCCAAAAGCGAACATAGAGCACTTGAGTGGAGCACATATGTGGACCTTAGGGACCTGAACCTGGTGGGGCCGCCGCCCACGAGGCTCAGGGTGGATTCTGGGGGCTCGCCTCTCCCCGGGAAGCCTTGGGCGCTTAGGGCCAAGCCTGCAAATCATTTGCAAGCTGCTAGCTCCACCTCACCCCCGTATTTCTGGAGACATGCCAAGGGCTCTGATTGGCCCTGGGAGGCTTCTCACGGTCGCTCTTTCTGTTTCCGGGGTACATTTGTTGTTGCATCCACTTTTTACTCAAAACCGTATGTGTTTAAGGGCGCTGAAGCAAGGGGATCGTCTATACTTCCGGCATCCGGGGCCTGACGACGATGCGTTAGGTTATTGTGCAGCTCTTTGCTGTTTTACCAGAAACATAAACAGTTGATCTTGCAGAGAAATCTGTTTCTCTCCCTCCCTCCCTTTCCTTCAGTTTTTCCCTTCTTACTTTCCTTTCTCTTCTCCGCTCCCTTCTTATTCTCTTCCCCTGTGTGGTCCCTTACCAATTATCCCAAATACAGATGCCTGTATTTGGTTTTCTTTGAGAGGGGGAAAGGTTTTCTTTGAGAGGGGAAAGGCGAGCGAACTAACCCTCACTTGTTGGCGGTTCAGCCTCGGCTTCTGACTCCTCGTGTCTTCTCTTCCTCTCCCAGGGTGTCCTCTCCAACATCTCGTCCATCACTGACCTCGGTGGCTTTGACCCCGTGTGGCTCTTCCTCGTGGTGGGAGGCGTGATGTTCATTCTGGGGTTTGCAGGGTGCATTGGAGCACTTCGGGAAAACACCTTTCTCCTCAAATTCGTAAGTATTGCCGATTCCGCTCTCGGTTTGCGTTCCAGGCTCTTACACCAAGAGGACACTCCTAACTACAGGCAAGATGGTAAGCGTACCACAGGCCTGGGCAAAAAATATGGCCCACTTTTATTTCAAGAGGGCTGCCTTCCTCCCCTGCCTGGGCATGCCTCTTTGGCGGTGTAGGTACTATCCAGCCTTGCCATGAATGGAGGCTTTGTACATATATGCAGCAGAATTGTCTCTAATCTCTAAGTAGTCTTAGGAAGGAATGAGGTGTGGAGGGGTGTGTATTGTATGTGTGAGAGTGCACACTTGTAGGCAGTGAATATTCTACACAGAAAGCTGTGCGGATAATAGTCTAGGAAAACTAGGCCCTGGCCCAGCTTCTCTAGCTTCCCAGCTTGCATAGTTTGGATAAACATGGAGATAGGGTCCAGGTGAAAATCCTCTGTGAGCAGAGCGGCACCTTTTAGCTGCTTTACGGCATGTGACTGCTGCATTTGTAGAGGAGCAGCTTTAGCCGGAGGGGCAAAGTAGAGAATGAACACGAAGGCCTTCCCTTTGGAGCTCCTTTCCAAGCAGAACATTAGCATAGAGAACATATTTGTATCTTAAATAAGAATGGTAAATACGGCTACCTCTGTGTAACAGAACTACAGCTTCCTTGTTGAGCGATGCCCTCAAATGTAACTTGACGCTGCTTTCTGCACTTTGGAGAATGAGGCGTTAGCTTAGAGGGCCCACAGCATGTCTGTTTCTGCCAGATATTTGGTGTGGATTTAATTTGGCCTCATTGTGTGTGGGGACTGGCATTCTAGTGTTTTCTGTAGGAAAAATAAACACTCACTCTCCTCTCCAAAGGTAGAGGAGGAACGATCAGAAGGACCTGCCTTCCTGCCATGAGGGAGGACAAGGAAGCTTCCAGAGAGCGGCTTTGTGTGATGCTGCTGTCGCTACAGCCGTTCGCACCCCTGCGGACACATCTTCTAGCATCATTTTCACTTCAGAACAAAGCCCGTCCTAGAACTGGTCTGGACAGCCACCTGGCGTGTCCGCTGCATTGTCCCCCAACATCTTTTCCTGAGCATCTCTAAGAGGAGACTTGCCATTCCAATCCTAGGGTAGCCCATTTCTAATCGGGGCACTTCTTGCTCCTTGAGAGTCCTGGTGGATGTTTCCTGGAATCTTTTTATGTGGCTCACTCCAAGAGGGAAGACCTGGGGTGGGGGGTCCTTGGTCTCAGACATAGTTTAATGAGGAGCTACTCCCTTCCTCCCCCCGCCCCGGCCTGGTGGGAGTGGCTAGTTCTCCATGGTTCTAGCTGCCTTATCTCCCAGACTGACCCTTTCTACACAGGCACACAAAGAGGCTGTGTGATGCTGCCTCTCCCCCCTTCCTCTGCCGCTTTCTTCTGTTAGTGAAGGACCTATGGAGTCCCTTCAAGGGATGTTTGTCTGTAATCATGACCTGCCAGTGTTCTTGGTATGAGGCGTCTCTATGTGCCAACCTGGCTTCACTCAGCTTTCCTGGAACCCACGACCTTCCTTTCCCACGACTCCACCATTGAAACCCCCATGCTCTCAAATATGGTTTTCTTAAGTATGGCTTTATTTACTGCAGCAAATACCTTCCTAAAGTCTCATAGTACATACGGAAAGAGTCATGTTCTTAGCTGTACATCTTGGAGAATATTTAAATGGCTTCCATTTAGTATTAACAGTAGAAACTGGCCTAGAAGTCTCTCTGAGCAGGAGCTATAAGATAAGTAGGAAATAACGTCACCATGCCTCCAAACAACCTCATATTGTCCTAAGAATAGGAAAATTGCTGCGGGAACCCCAAGGACTAAGACTGTGAAATAGAAGTGGTCTTTCTTGGCTGGCTGATGCCCTCAGATGAAGTTTCATTGCATCTCTGAAATGGGGGAGGTAGCTCACAGAGCCAGGCATGTAGGTCTCTGCCGAATATTGATATGAATTGGGTTTGGACTCGATATTGGATGTGTATATTATATAACTTGAGAGACTTTACCAGGGCAGCTAGAAAGTGAACCCTCCTAACTTTTGCGGAGGTGAGAACAGAAATCTCAGGTCTTTGTACAACTGTCCAGCTGTGTCACACACATACATGCCAGTTTGGGTTTTATTCCTTCTGTGGTGTGGAGCCTTTATGTGCCCATGTTTGGGGTGGCACCATGTACAGGGAAGAGGATTTATATGAAGAAGGAGGCAGGGAGCACACTTGCCCCCACCAAGATGCACTTGTGTCCGTGAAGAGAATGGCCACACCCCACTATCCACCCAGCATGCCCCCGTGATTCACCTCAAGATCCCAGAAGGGTCTGAGGAGGGTAAAGATGCAGGAGGAGGGAGGTGTGGAAAGGCTTGTGGGTGGAGCCGCAGTTCAGATGACTAAAATGAGACTCTGTAGTACCTCCGTGGAAGGGAAATTTCCCCAGGACTCTGAGTGCTTACCCCAGGGCCTCATGCTCCCTAACCTTATGCTGTGTTATCAGCCTTAGCCAGAAGTCTCCTTTTGATTGCAGTGTGGCGTTATTTAAAGTGTTTCCTGAGGTCGCTGCTTCCCAGACAGGAGGCAAGAGCACCTAGTGTTCCTGAGAAAGCCCTTAACCCACGGTTTCATTTTCACCGCTGGAAATGGTTTGCGTGTCAGTCACACCCCCTCCCACTTCCTTTCTGACCTCTTTCACACCAACAGATCTGTTTCACACCTTATCGGAGGCACAAGGAGGAATTAGAACAGTGAATCCGGCACAGGGTAATGGAGTGCACGTGGAATCCAGCCACGGTAGCAGCTGACAGGCGATTGTAAAACATGGGATAATCTACCTTTCAAGTTAGGCAAAGGGCTTCCTAGAGGTCAGGCAGAACGTTGTTCTTACGTCTGGCAGTACATTAATCACAAGCAGTTCATTAGGCCTTAATGTGGGCCTAATGAGAAATTCCTATGACTCATATTTGATTTGGGCTTTGTTGGTTAATTATCAGATGGAACACCAGAGACCAAAATGTGATTAGGAGCTGATCTTTAATTTTTGAAAGTCCTTTCTGGAAGTGTAATAGTTCATTGACAGACCTTAAGAAACAGAAGGCTCCAGTTTGGAAATGGGCCCCAGTTGAGTGCAATTACAGCCCTTTCCGCTAACCCCTATGACCATTGCCTGTTGTGTGTTTCTTTCCTCATAGTTTTCTGTGTTCCTGGGGATTATTTTCTTCCTGGAGCTCACTGCTGGGGTGCTGGCATTTGTTTTCAAAGACTGGATCAAAGACCAGCTGTATTTCTTTATTAACAACAACATCAGGGCGTACAGAGACGACATTGACTTGCAGAACCTCATAGACTTCACCCAGGAGTATGTAAGTGCAAGCGCCCTCACCCTCCCGTGGAAACGGCTTCTCGCAAGGGGGACGCCCATAATGCCTTGTGTATCTTTGCCAGCCAGAGAGGTCCGACTGACTTTGCGGCCTAGCTTCCGGTTGTTTGCGAGCGAGCATGTTTCTCTTGCTCCACGGTTCACATTTGTATCCCACACAGAAACGTTCTGATTCCACTTGTTTCAACTTGGGTGAAAGTAGCAGAAGAAAGACATAACTCTGACACGAAAAGGCGATCACCATGGCTGTACCCTTGTCAGCCATTGGAGAAAATAGTGCTTCCGTGTGTTCAAAGTTCTGTTTGACTAAATATGAATTTGCCGTGTTCCTTCCCCTACAGCTCACAATAATTAACAGGGTGTTTGTTCATAAAGGTGCTCAAGTGTACCTATTCAGCTACCACGTGTGTACACTCCTAACCAAACTTTAGAGATCTGTAAGCCTGCTGGCTTCTAACAAATGGAATAAGCGGACCCTCTCGCCTCCTGCCACACAGGTGTCTGAACACGACTGTGTGACTGGCTGCTCCTCTCCTGCCAACAGACCAGGCAGATGTCCTGTCACTCAGAATGCAAAGTAGGACAGACAGGAGCCAAGAGACACACAGTCTCATTGACTTTGTACTGACAAAAGCTTGAATTCGTTCCCTGATAGTAAAATGAGAGAAGAAAAAGTGAGCTATTGTCTAATTTCCCTGGCTATTTGAACATGATGCGCATGGTTTCATGGTAGCCCCAAGATGTTGTCGTCCTGCGTGCAGATCAGCAGGCCCTCATGCACCTCCAGTGGAGCAATGGGAGTAAGCCAAGCAAACTCAGTCAGTGGTGTCAGTGGCATTAGGGTTTAGGGCAAGATCAGGGGCCACACAGAGGCGCAGTGGACCAGGGTCTTGCTTTGAGTTAGAAAGGTTGAACTGGGTGCCATTTACCTTGGATAAGGCCATTTGCACCAGCATCGAATGGGGGTTTAGGGAGGTGACCCTTCTCAGGGTGCTCAGCACTCGCCTGGGGTCTTGGTTTCTCACTCAGTGGCTGCAGAGCAGCTGAGGTCTACAGTGAGCTGTCCTCGGGTGTGAGATGCAGCCCCCATTCACCCGCTCAGCAGACCACCGCTGGTGTTAGGTCTTGCAGAATGCAAGCTCACAGCTTCCCAGCCAGTGTCCCCGAGAAGTTTGCAGGACAGAGCTGACTGGGCTTCACAGGGAAACCTGTGGTGCCCAAGCTTAGAGGAGCTGCGGGGCCTGCAGAGCATGTGTTCACACGTGTTCTTCACCTGCCGCCTGCTGTGCTCAGCAACACTGCTGTTTCATGTGGCTCTGGACATCTGTTCTGCAGTTAAACGTTTCGGCATAGCTATTGGTCACCAATGCACTAAAGTGGCCAAGGGTTGGTTTTAGTTTAACTTGAGAAGCCAGGGTAATCCAGAACAGGGAGGTGGTAGGTGGGTTATGGCCAGCCATAATCAATCACTGAATTGAATGAACATCTTGGTTATTTTATATTTTAATTAGCTGATTGACTTTGTAAAAATGATATATAAAATAGGTTCTTTAGGGCTGGAGAGATGGCTCAGAAGTTAAGAGCACTGACTATTCTTTCAGAGGTCCTGAGTTCAATTCCCAGCAACCACATGGTGGCTCACAGCCATCTGTAATGAGATCTGGTGCCCTCTTGTGGCCAGCAAGCATCCAGACAGACAGAACACTGTATATATAATAAATAAATATTTTTTAAAAAAAGAAAAAAATGTTCTTAAAAAGAACAGAGTCTGGAGAGATAGCTCGGCAGTTAAAAGCTCTGACTGCTCTTCCAGAGGACCCAGGTTCCATTCCCAGCATCCACATGGCAGCTCACAGCTGTCTGTAGCTCCAGTTCCAGGGCTCCCTCACACAGACACACATGCAGGCAAAACACCAATGGATATAAAATAATAAAAATTAAATTATTAAAAAATAAAATGGATTTGGCATAGAGATCAAGATAATGAAAAATGAACCCTCTGAGGTTGTACAGAGATAGATTTTATTTACTCTGTTTTTTGTTAGTTGGTTTTGTTTTGTTTTTGTTGTTGTGGGGATTGGACCCAGGGCCTCGCCACGTTTGACCACTGTACTGCTGAGCATCAGCCCTGATGTTCATTGTGTCGTGAAGTGGTGACAGCCCTAGTGTTGTGCACTGTCAGAACTTACCGGAGTGTCTGACGTCCATTTGATGTCACTTAACACTCAGTGACACTGTTTAAGAACCATTAAAATGAGATCATATCCTCAAGCCCAACCAAGTTGCCACATTACATGTTGCCAGTGTTGCTTGTGTTTTATTTTTCCTTCTAGAATGTTCTTGTGTATCCCTCTAGAATGTGGCCAAGCCAAATAGATCTTGAGGCCTGCTCTTTGGTGCTGTGTGGGTGGAGCGCTGCTGGCTGGTCACCTCGGAGCCTAGACGATCTTCTAACTCTCTCCTGTTTGCTCTAGTGGCAGTGCTGTGGGGCTTTTGGAGCTGATGATTGGAACCTAAATATTTACTTCAATTGCACAGATTCCAATGCAAGCCGAGAGCGATGTGGTGTGCCCTTCTCCTGCTGCACTAAAGACCCCGCGGTAAGAGCGCCGAGCCCACGGTGGCTGCCGTGCTTACTATGGGCGTGACAGCAGAGGGATTTTGTCCCCATATCTCTTCTCACAGGCTCATGTCTCACTGTAGCTCCTCAGTGGGGATGCTGTGCCCCAGGCTTCCCAGTTAAGACAGGATGGCTGGTGTTCATTTAGCGAGTGTGTGTGCATTTGTTCCTATTCTGAGCCTTGGTGTGTGTCGGCTCATGGGAGGTCAGAAAAGGGATCCCTTTCTTGGGGGGGAAAAAAAACCCAAACATGGCATGTGGAGTGCAAGTGACTTCTCCCAAATCGCAGTGCTGACAGGTGACAGAGATGGGCGCCTGGCCCAGGCAGGCTGCCCCTGTCAGTTGTCCCTCCTTGATGAGAATGTGGGGCTCCCAGGTGAGCCGTCTGCAATAGCTTGGGTTTATTAAGCGTTTCCTTCTCATATGACTTTCTGGAAGGGAGTTAGGAGTAAGAGGAGAGATTGCGACCTGACAAGATTGGGACGTTGGGATGCTGCCTAGGGAGCCACAGTGGCCCAGAGTGTGCCATACGGATGGCAATGTCGGCTGCCACTTTTGTTTCTTTAAAAAGGAAACAGAACCCACTCAGAAGTCACTCCTTTTTACTGCATGTCACGCTGCGTGCATGGTTTGTAGAATAAAAACAAACAACAAAAAATGAACCTTCTAAGCCAGACAGTGGTGGCGCATGCCTTTAATACTAGCACTTGGAAGGCAGAGGCAGGCGGATCTCTGTGAGTTCAAGACCAGCCTGGTCTACAAGAGCTAGTTCCAGGACAGGCTCCAAAGCCACAGAGAAACCCTGTCTCAAAAAACCAAAATATATATATATATAAGGACCTTCTGTATTGTAAGTAAAAAGCCAGAACTGAGGGTTAGCGGGTCAGTGATACTTACGTGAGGAGTAGCTGTTACCCTTCTTGTCAGGCTTGCCCTTGCCACAGGAGTGCAGTGGGTGCAGATGGCTTCCACTGGCTCCCCCTCATGCAAGTTTGGAAGCTGGAGGATTCTTTCACAGAGCACAGCGGCTAGCGTTTTTTAGAGTGCTGAGCTGTTGCCCTTCTTGCCGGCTGCCCGTCTGGAGGGCGGATCAGCCTGGGCTGAGCATCAGTCACTAAGAACTGTGCCACCCTGCCTGTGGTTCCTTTCCAGCCAGCCTGTCTTCCTCCGCTGAGGCGGGTCAATTGGCAGCAGGATTCCAGCTGGAAGTCTGTGGACCCATTCAGGCAGCCTAGGCCCACACTGGCCAAACATGCTCTGTGTTTGCTATCGCTGTCCGTGAGAAAAATCGGAAGCGTCTCCAGGAGTCACTAGGCAACCGCAGGTCCGCAGTCGGTCTGTCCTGTGCCATGAACTCAGAACTGATGAGGTCACTATCTGGCCCCTGGAGGGGAAGAAGCAGCTAGCTCCCAGTATTTCCAACCAGATCTGGAGATGTCAGGCTGCCTGTTTGACACATGGCCCGACAGTGTTTTGCTTTGTAATTAGTAACATAATCCTTTTTCATTAAAATAAACAAACATAAAACTTTGACAGAATTTAATGATTAAAAGAGACAAGGACATATTTGGCATGCATAAGACTCTAGATTTAATCTCTAGCACTATTTTTTTTTTCTAGTAGAAACCGTCAAAGAGCATAAAGATAGATGGTCATTTTGTCCTTTAAGTTTGATTTTGGTCTATGTCTCCATTTTCCCCAACCCTTGGAGCTTTCTGAAGTTGGCAGTATTTGGAATCTTGATCTTCCCCCTACCCCCAGCATAACGGGCCTGCTATAGTCTCAGTTTTCCTCATCTCTAAGGCAGAGAATGTCTTACTACATACTTCTGAAGTTGCTCTTGTAAGCTTGTGGCATCTGATGCACATGGCACGTTGAACACGGTGCTGTGGTCTGTGTGTCCCCATCGGGTCTCACCACCAACTCTGCAGGGGCTCCTGTTTGTTAGTAGATGGGCTTTCTGTTGAAGACGAGTGAATTTCACTTTTCTCTTCCTTTCTTCCCCAGGAAGATGTCATCAACACTCAGTGCGGCTATGATGCCAGGCAAAAACCAGTAAGTGGAACCTGCCCTTGTGGCCTAGCGCACAGCGTGCCTGGAGGAGCGTTTGCGCATGTGCGAGGCTGTATCTGTGACACTCTGCTCTCTTCCCTTGTAAAGGAAGTTGACCAACAGATTGTAATCTACACGAAAGGCTGTGTGCCGCAGTTTGAGAAGTGGCTACAGGACAACTTAACCATCGTGGCTGGTATTTTCATAGGCATCGCATTGCTGCAGGTAAGATGGGGGTCCTTGGTGGTATAACTCAGACGGTGGTACCCAGAGATACCTCATCAGGACAGGATGCTTACTCAAGCTCCTCAGCGCCATAGCGTCTGTGACATGCAGGAGGTCCTGGGGACAGACCGGAACTACTAGGTTTGTGTTTATTGAAGATGTGGTTCTAGATCCAGAAACATCTCAAGAAGCCTTGCCACCTCCTCCCCAGGAAGAGGATGATGAGGTCACTCCCTGGCATCCCGTTGTTTCCAGTGGTTTAGAGGGCTGCCTTGTGACAGCTGGGGTAGACATGGCTGCTCAGAGTGGATCTCAGCAGCAAGGCCAAGGCTCTGTGGAGTTTCAGAAGTATGTGTTGTGTCTCTTGTCTCTGTGGACCAGCTTTCCAGAGAGCGGTCTCAGGAGCTCCCTGTTGATGTGATAGTTTCTGCAGAGGGTCACAAATGGGCACACACTGGAAGGGAATGTAAGAAGCCTGGAGTGAACAGAAAGGCATCCTGTGTTCACGGATTATAAGACTCAGTGTCACTCAAATGGCATCACTACTCGATGACCTAGGGGTTCTGTGCAGTCCCTACCTCAGGTCCCACCTCCTCGTCCACAGGCGTGGACAAGCTGGGCCTGAAATGACATGGGAAAATAAGAACCAGGATAGCTAAATAAAACTGGAAAAGATCAGAAGATGAAGAATTCATGTCTCCTAATTAAAACTCACTACAAAGTAGCAGGGTTCCAGACAGAACTTCTGGGAGCTTTGCTTTGATAAGGGACTCGGAACTATTCAGTGAGGAACGGAAAAAGGGTCTCCAGGGATGGAAAAATGGCTCAGTGGTTAAGAGCACTGGCTGCTCTTCCAGAGGACCAGGATTCAGTTCCCAGCCCCCACATGATAACTAACAGTTGTCTTTCAGTTCAGGTCTAAGGGATCTGATGACCTTCTCTGGCCTCCATACACATGGTGTGAATGTGGTGTGCAGGCATGCCTGGAAGCAAAACACCTATACACATTTAAAAAAAAAAACTTAGCAGAAATACTGATTTTCTCTCTGGAAAAGACTGACTTTTAGATGCCTGTCTTATATCATATTTAAACATTAACTTAAAATAGATCAAAGACTCAAATGTAAGTGTAATATACTGTATGCCTGTAATGCAAGCTATTAAAAAAGATTAAAGCAGGACGGTCACTTCAGACTGCACAGCCAGCCCGGCCTTTATAGACCGTGGTGTAAAAAGCAAATGGACAAAACTCTCGATATAAAAGCCAAAGTGATGAAACTCTAGAAGAAAATATGCTATAAATTGGGGATTTTTGTCTTGGACAGTTTCCTTAAAAGAACATGATGGCAAAATTCTAACCACCAAGTAAAATAGATAATGGGACTTCATCAAAATATGAAACTTCTACACGGAAAATGATGTCATTTAAGATTACTCACATAATAGCAGAAAATATTTGCGAGTGGTTATTTGAAAGGGATCTCAATGCCTAACAACAGGAAGAAAGGCCAGACTGAGCTACCTTGCAAGACCCGGTTTACAAGCGAATGGTGTATTTCAGTAGACACTTCTCCAGCAGAGATAGACTTGGCCTATTACATGAGACAAGATGCCAATGGCATTTGTCATGAGAGAACTGCAAATCAAAACTATAGTGAGAAAACCGTTGCACACCCACTAGGGTGGCTGTAATAAAAAAGATAATGGGTGTTCATGGGGATGGAAGATGGAACGTTCACACACTTCTGGAGGGAGGAAATGAATGGCTCAGCTTTCCAGAAAATAAATACAGAGTTATTGTGTGACCCCACAATATTCCATGAATGCAAGCCAAAGGAATGAAAAATTACATTTGCCAAAACATTTGCACACACATATTCATAGCATAAAGTACTGGAGAATCCATCAATGAATTTTCAAGACTTTGGTATATACTTACTGAGTTAGTACCCAGTCATCAAAAAGGAATGGATTGGCGAGGTGTGGTGATGCATGCCTGTTAGCTCAGCCCCACAGAAGCAGACAGATGACAACTTACACTATACAGGAAGACCCTGTCTCAAGAGCAAAGCAAAACAAATGGAACTGTCTGGATACATCTGCAGGAGTCACTAGTGCCCTTCAGCTGCTTTTGGTCCCACTCCCCATCTGAGCCACCCACCCACCACATCTTCACAGTGCCCCAGGAGTATCCCAGGATCTCACCATCCCCACCTCTGGGTCTTCTCAGCCCACCCTGTGCCCCTCCCTGCCTTAGAACGATCACCCACCTAGTCAGCTTGGAGCTCTGCCTCCCACTGTGACCTTGTTGTTGGGGATTGACACTCTTGCTCTCGGGAGGAGAGGGAGGATGAAACTGAGGAACTTACCACATCATAGACACAGTGAAGTGGTGGAGCCTGCCTTCAGAATGTCACACACCTGACCTCAGCAGGGAGAGCTAGGCAGGTGCAGCAACCGGTGCACGAATCAGACAGGCTGGTCACCAACAAAACTGTTCCCTTCGTGTGTGGCTTTGTGGAGGTTCATTACCTGAAAGGCAGGTGAAATCCATAGAAGGATTGGGAGGCCTCATGACCCAGTGGAGCTTCAGACTTTCCCATATACAGGTGCCATTTCTCTAGTCACAAAGGCAGGGCGTACATGTTGAGGCCTCCTCAACTTTCTGTATGTTGTATCGAGATGTTCACTTAAGTTCTTTAACTTGTGTCCTATAAGGAAAATTGGTAGTGGGGTCATGAGGATTTACAGCACTGTAATCAATACCTTGTAGAGCAAAGAAAGAGAGGTTTGTTTGGTCTCAGGGTTGAGAGGCTGGTGTCCAGCATGGTGAGAAAGGTATAGTGGCCAGAGCAGCTCAGAGACAGAGAACACCTTCAGCACTGTCCTTAGCAACCCACTTCTGGTTGCTAAGCTACAGTCTCAAATGTCCTCGAACCTCCCAAAACAGTGCCACTAGCTGGGGACTAAGTATTCAAACCCATGAGATTGTGCGAACTTCACATTCAGACAGTACCATCGATGAACGTGGAGAACATTTCGTTCCATGAACAAAGTCACGGGCACCACATCCTTACTATCTGACGCCATTTCCATGAGAAGTCCAGAACAGACAACGCCATAGAGAGAGAAAGTAGATGAGAGCTGTCTAGGCCACGGGAAGGGTTAGAAATAGCTTCTCTCTGTACAGGGTCAGCTTGAGGGCAATGAACATCTTCTGCATTTAGTATTGAAGAGCTCAAGTCATGCTAAAATTGTGGATTTTATAGAACATTAGTTGCATCTCAGTTTTTATTGTCTCTCTCCCCACTCTCTTTATCAGCCGATGGTTTTGAGACAGGTCTCATGCATCCCGGGCTGGCCTCAAACTTGCTATGTAGCCAAGGATGACTTCCAATGTATCTGCCTCTGCCTTCTCAAGATTATAGATACATACAACCGTGCCTGTTTTTCTGTGGTGCTGGAGATGGAATCCAGGTTTTATGTATGCTAGGCAAGCTCTATAGACTGATTGAGCTACATATCCATCCCCTGTATATCACTTTAAGAATTAGTTTATCAAACAGGGGAGGGGGGAGCAGACCCAGTGACCAAGGAAAAGCCAAAAGCGTTTGAATTCTACTGTCTAACTCGGTTTTCTTCCCTCTTTTAGATTTTTGGGATATGCCTGGCACAGAATTTAGTGAGTGACATTGAAGCTGTCAGGGCTAGCTGGTAAAAACCCTGTGACCACTGATGCAAGACACTGGACTGACCCCCTCGCTGACCCTCCTGTGCTGACCGATGGCGGGCTGCAGGGACCTGGTCACGGGCCCGCAGTCCCACCTAATGGAGCTGCCAAGAACTTACTTCCTGTTGGGGGTAAAGCTGGGGAACGCCGTTCAAAGACGGGCCTTTTCAAACGAAAAACAGAACAGTGCGAAAGCCATTGAGTCGCTGTGCCGTGAATCTCTACTGTAGCCGTGAACTGATGGACGGATGCTACCAGGAAGGGAAAGGGGGGAGGTCGGGCGCTGCATGTACTTGAATTTGTGGAGAATACAGTGCTGTCCACATCCTGGCTAAAACTTAAACCCTTACCCCCAGGGCTGAGTGTTTTGAATCACTCCATGCACATTCTCAGAACCTGTTGCTACTGTCCTCTGGGATGGGATTTTGAGATGGGTGGAGTGGGTCCAGGGTGCACGTCCTGCAGAGCCCCTTAAGAAAGCCGGGTGTTTGGGGCAACCAGTTAGGGTAGCAGAGATCGCGGTCCACGTTTCCGCAGGACTGATCTTTCTTGTGAGCAGCAGCCTGAGCTTTATCCATGATATCCAAGGAGGAAACGAGGTTACTGAGAGGCACTAATCAGGCGCTCCTGTACCCCACCATAACCAACTAGTGTTCGGGTTCTTCGGATATTCCGGGATACTCTGGGCTTGTTTTTGTGTTTTGTTTCTTTTTTCTTTTTCTTTTTCTTGTTCTTTTTCTTTTTTTTTTTTTAAATCGGCTGTTATTTTGGTTCTTTCTGTCTCCCAAAGGCAAAGGCTATGATACAGTCCTGTGTAATGTTTTCTTATTCAGCTTCAATAGTAAGTTTTTGTATAATCCTCACCTGCATGTGCTGTGCCCCTGAACCCACCATGTCCTTTTCCAAGAGACACTTGAGAGCACTCGTCAGCGTTTCTGTCAGAGGTCCCCAGCCTTGGGTGGTTGTGGCATGTTGTCCAAGCCATGCGTTCATATGCCCCATGGGCTCCCGGTCTCTCACGGCTTCCGGCTCCCCGTCTTCCTCATTAAAGCTCAGTTCCAAAGCAGGGCTGGCAGTCAAAAAGCATCTGACAAGGGTCTTCTTGCGATTTTAGTTTTGCCATATATTTAAGAAAACAAAAAATCAAACCTAGTTTAGTGCATGGCCAGAGCTCTGTCCCCGTGAGGTGACCTCAGGGTAGTAACAAAGCACAAATACTTGAGGGGCCGCACTGAGGCCCAGCCCGGGTTCTGTGATGCTGGGTAGAAAACCACCTTCAGGTCCTGCTTCTGCCTCGTGCCCGCTGGGAGGGTGGATTTTGGCCCCAGATTTTCACCCAGCTTGTGGTATCCCCTGGGTGTTGCTGTCGTGGGGAGCAGGTTTGAGATTATTCCCGGGTTTCCGGGAAGACTACAGCCTCTGAGAGAAGCTCCGCATTCGCCAGCCACCTTTCTGAGTTAGCAGGTTAGCACGGTTTTCCACTCCCATGACGCTGCATCGCCGTGGCTGACGGACAGTCTGCTCCGCGGGAGGACAGGCACCCCTTTCCAGTCCCATCTCCGCAGTTCGGGTGTGTGTGGCTTTGCATGTGTGTATCTGTGTCCGTTGTAGGTAGAGATAGTCATTCCATACGTGGACGTGAGGTCACATGACTCCGCCCCTGTCCATACCGTCATTTGTGATGTCCTTCTCGGATCGGCACTTCTGTCTTCTTTATTACCTCATTCTCCAGTGAACTGCATCTGGCCAGTTGATTCCGAATCAGGCAAGATCCCCCACCCTGTGGCACACCCAGTGAAAGCCAAGCCACAAGCCCAAGTGAGTTTTAAATTTTAATCACCTTTATTTTTTACACTCGAGAGTGATTGTAATAAAAACTGTCATTAATAAACTTGGTTCTACCTGACATGGGATTATGTTGTTTCTTTCTGCATACTTCCCAGATGCTACTGTGAAGCATTCTGGAGTGACTGGTTAAAACACAAAAGGCACGCGCCAGGGGTACAGCTCATTCCTAGTATGCCTGAAACTTTGGGTTCAATCCCATGTCCCAACAACTGCCACCATCCCCAGAGTCCCTCAGGAGGTAGGTCGGAACAGGGCCCGAGAACTCCCACTGCTGAGTTCCTAAGATGCCAATGAAATCACAGGTTGATTTTGAGAAACACCCATCAGTCCTGGGTGGGAGGGGAAAGTTGTGGTCGTGGGGGCTGAGTCTCTCTGGGTTGCTGAATGTAGACAGACAGAGCACCCTGTAAGTAGGTGTTCTCTGGCCCGGAGTTGTCTTCTGCTTGTTACAGACACCTTTGGGACCTTGTAAAGCACAGATCTCAGACCTTGACCCTGTCATCCTGGGCTGTGTATTTAATACACAGTGGGCCTAGGTAAAAGTTACAGTTTTTATAAGAAAGAAATTGCCCTTGAACCTATCATCTTACCCCATTGGAAAATACCAGCTTCTGTGTGTTCAGTTGTGCATTATCACTGGAAAATAGTCTTGTGAACAGATGGAAACAAAACCTTCCATTTCACGTACTGCTCTAAGACCGGACAGAACGGTCTGTCCCCAGATGTGAGAAACACCGTGCCTCACCTCTCTGGAGATAGGAAACAAAAGTATTTTGATTTTGAGGAAATCTGTTCATGCCTGAGGATGGACAGCTCTGTTGACGTCCTTTACTCTCTGATGTTATGGGGCTCGGTCATTCCCCCCAATGCTTTGGCCGCAGAGGAAAGAGAGCTCAAAACTAGCAGAAGTGTCTTCCTTGTTCTCAGTCGACACTAGACTTTTGGGGAATAGTACCACTTCTTTTGCTTCTATTATTTACTGGTTCTCACAAAGATCGCCTGTGTAATGTAAAAATGTATGATTCATGAGAAGAACAGTAAAAAACAATGCATCAGCGGGTTCTGCAACTCCCGTGTCGTTCTCCAGGGTCTAGCCCCTTGGCGTGTCGTTCTCCAGGGTCTAGCCCCTTGGCATGTCTTTGGGCTCCCTTGCTGCCCCAGGTCCCAGGCTTCCCCCCTCCAGGAGACTTTTAGAAGGGACTCTGTCCAAGCTTTTGCTTCTTTGGAACAGCATTTGATCACTAGGGGCCGGTGTTTGTGTGGGCAGGAATGGAATCATTTTGCAGTGTGTGGCTCTCCCAGCGCCTGTTTCCGGCTCTCTTGGAGAAGAGCCCTGGGAAGTGGGTGGGCTGAACAATGAGGGTCAGAGCCCAGTGACCTGGCAGGCCTGCCCCAGAAAGCTTTGCCATTTATCCATTGGTGCTTGCTCCTTCCCTTGGGAAATCTGTGCAGACCTCCAAGGAAGGACTGGGCGCCTGTCCATAAACACTAACCGCTGTGGCCAGTGCCACGGGGCCGGGGACAGTGACAGTGAGGTACTGCCCACACTCAACAAGTGGAAACCAAATGTACAGCAAGAACAAGCAGGGTTGAGTTATGACTTTTAGTGGAATCATTTGACTAGGGGCACAGCATTCATGTTCTGGGGTTTGGGCACAAGAAGTGGGAAAGAGAAACTAAACTCAGAAGCTATCAAAGCCACCTCAACATTTCCTCGCCAATTGTTTGTTTGAGAGACTTGCTATAAAGGTAGAGTCTATTATACTGTGGTTTTTAGGACATTTTTGATTTGAGGAATTAATTATGGCTTCCCTCTGGAGGCTTGCCACTCCCTTGTACACTTGCCAGAAAGTTGTCCTGGCCCCTCCCGGTTAGCCTGAGCTAGACCTCCTGGTCTTACACCCCCACTTCGAGGAATGAGAGATAAAGCCATTGTCCAGAAGAGCAGGCGAAAGCCTGGTTTTACACGGTGGGTATGGATTCCAGAAAGAACCAGTGCCCAGCAAGACAAGCTGCCCACGTGCTTGTCACCTCCCTGAACCTGCACACTGATTAGAACAGAAAAGTTTTAGTGGCCTGCCCTCTAGTGTCAGACATGGAGAACTGCAGCCGCTTGGAGTTGGCGTTGCAAGCTCCATTCCAGGATTGGGAAACGGTACAGGGGTTGATGGCAGGTGCTTAGGGAAGGTAGGGCTGTTCCTTCATGCTTCTGAAATCTGGGGCTCATTCTGGGAGCCTAGGGAAGGGTGCATTTTGTTCCCATCAATACTTATGCACTGATCTTGCCACCTTGCTACAGCAGGCTTGTGCAAGCCTGGTGGAAACTGGCCGTGCCTCCCGTGCCGGCTCAGATGCTGCTGCTAGAAGCCAGTGCACACTCTCACCAGGTGTTTACCTCCCACTCTGGAGGCGCTATGTCTTCCAGGCACGTGTCATCCTGGTGGAAGGTGGCACAGGCTGCACCCTCTCTCCCAGGGCACAGACCTCCACTTAAGGGTTCTGACGGGGCTGAGATCCCAGGTCCTAGGAGCTGCACCTCAGTTCTTCAACATAAACTATCCAGAACAAAGAAGCAACCTTTGCGGAACTTTCCTCTAAAAACGTCAGTTGAGGGCCCGGTGGAGTTGGCTTTGATTTGAGGATTTCTAACTTCTTGTTGTTTTGGGTTTTGTTTCTTATTTTAACAAGAGCTTGTTAAGTCGTCCCTGTCGGCCTGACGCTTCCTGTTCCGTATCTGCCTCCCTTCAAACTTGCAGCAATCCCCCTGCATCAGTCTTCCAAGAGGTGTGATGACAAACTTTGTACCTCCTGGCTACAACCTTGATTAGAGAGAACGTGGAAACCATGCCCACGTGCTAGGAGTTTGTGGCAAGCGAAATGGTGTCTTCCAGTATTTCATACCCTGACAGCTTAACAAGAACCACAGACACTGGCCCACAGAGTGTAGAGAACTCAAGGAAGGCAGATTCAGGTCGTATGTCTATAATTCGAGGAACACCCATCTTGATAGCAACTACCAGAAACTGGGAAGTACGGGGAACATACAGCACTAGCCTCTAGAACACTCTGAGGGAACACATGGCCAGTTGAAGCTGTCCTGTTGGTGTGTTTTTTCCGATGGGGTCAGGCAGAGCTCAGTGCCTGTTGCTTTTTGGCTTGAGGGGCCCGCTGCGAGCTAAGTGTTTTCCCTGGCAGGCCCGCGTCCCCACATGGTTCTCATCTGTTGATTGGAGGCAGCTGAACCCTGTATGCGCATGATCTCTGGCCTATGTTCTTGTAAAATCTTGCTGCTTTCCGGTTTTGTTAAGATAGGGTCTCAGTATATACCTGGGGCTAGCCTTAGGCTTGTATTAATTTAGGCTGTTTTAAACTCATTCCTCCTGCTTCAGCCTCCCAAGCGCTGTAATTCCTGATATGCACCACTATGCCTGGCTAATCTTGCCACCTTTCATGAGGTACTTTAAATAAAGGATGCGTTATTATATGATATTTAAGATTGTGGCGGTGCATTCTGTATTTATTTGAAGCAAATTCTCTTAAATACCACCTGCTACAATGTTTGAAATCACGTAAATAAAACAGGAATAAAATGATCTGCGCCTTTTGTAGTCCCTCATGATGTCATTAAAACACCACAGTGGTTCGCTAACTGTCAGTTGCAGGCAGCTGCTGGGCAGAATGGCTCATCTGCCCCTTGAACCAACAGCACACAGTCGGGAAAATATACTCTGTTCCCGACCCCGCCACAGAGATGTAAACCAGAGTGGAATCCCCACAGACTGAAGATCTCCACTTGTTCAGTGATAAACTGCCGTTTTTTCCAGGGAAGACTGGAGTCCAAGGATTCAAGGGGGTAGAGACGGATGTGATATGACCTGGGCTGTCGGGTGCTTCATCACTGTGAGGCTATGGTTTGCAGACGCCAGGCAGTAGGATCAGGTGTGGCGCATGGAGGGGTCGTGGGCACTCAGCGAAGGAAGGGAAAGCTGTGGAACCAATGGGCTGGCGGCTGCGATTCCATTAGCAGTAAAGATGACGTGAGAAGTCGATCTTCCCGTCCAACGAGGGAACCAACTACGTCACGGGAATGTTTTTAAAAACAATGCAGAAAACTCGCTAAGATTGTCCATTACAGCGTGTCGTTAAAGGCAAAAATAGTATCAGGCTCGACACCTATCCCACTCAGGTTGCCACCAGGCTTACTTAACATACCTGCAAGCCAAGTGGGTTCCTGGCTCTGCAGGGTGGGGGCAAGCTCTCTCTAGTCTTGGAGGACGGGAGGGAAGCGAGCTGTTGTGACTCGGATGACTATATCCTTGAAATTTTCCTGGATTGGATAAAAGTGATTCCGGGTTTGAGCGAAGGCTCAGGGGTGAAGAGCGTCTGCTGCTCCGGTGGAGGGCTGGAGTTCGATTCCAAGCGTGGTGGGTGGGTCACAGCCATCCGTACCTATAACTCCAGTTCCTGGGACTCTGATCCCTTCTGACCTCTGAAGACACCAGACACGTACCCAGTACACATAGATGCATGCTGCACCTGCAGGCAGAATACTCATAAAACAGCGTAAAGAAGAAAGGCGTCTCTAGAGAAACCATAGTAGGGGGAGGGGCTTCAGATGATTGGTGCACGAGGACTTCATGGTCTGGAGGGGGCTGAGCGCTAATATGAAGGAAGCCTGGAGGTGTTTGGTCCTCCCTTCCAGCAAGTGTGGAAGACTAGGATCCGCTGTGAGAACTGAGTCTTCACCCGACACCGGAGCTTCAAAACTTCGCTTGCTCCGAACTTGGCTTCTGCTGCCTCCAGAACTGTAAATAATACTCTTTTGTTGTTTATAAAATACCTGACCTACAGTACTTATTTTAGTAACACAGTGGACTAAGTCTAAGTCACTGCTCCCCCCCCCCCCCGCTTTCTCTGTCCCGCTAAAATTCCTGGGGCCCAGAATCTGGCAGGGAAGTTACCAAGTTGTGGGTGCTGGGGACGGCTGGGGAACACGAGCTTCAAAGCAGTGGTGACTGGAGGCTTCAGTTTTATCTTTTTCAAGGTTGCAACCAAGAT